GCAGAGCATGCTTTAACACCAACAAAAAATGGAAAATGTCTGTTAAAGTAAAATGTCCTACAAAGACGTCTGGTGTAAGGCACAAATGACCTGATTTAGAAAGAGCCTGTTTCGCAAAATTGGCAGTCTTAATATCTTCTGGATTTGGATTTTAAAAGAGTCCAGGAGTCTGATTTCGTTTCTAAAACCTCCTTGAGATTTCCAAGATCCTGTCCCACTTTTAGGTCACTTTAAATGAATCGTGTGTTGATGCATCCATGGTGGGTACTGCGCTGTCTGATGGGGCTCTTCCGGTTGTCTTATCTGGCTGTCCTGAAACTCCCAGAAGTCCCACGATGTATCCTAAGAGGGTTTTCATCAGACCACCAGGGCGACCTTCACTTGCTTCTAAAGTTCAGTTTGTGTAATCTATGAACATCTGCGTATGTTTGGCTTTAGACAGCCCGGAGTGACCAATTGGCCAACATTTAGTAAAGATAAGCTTTTAGATTCATGCACAAACAATGTTCACAGAATCAGGGGGGCTGAGTTGTTACGTTTCAGTATTTAGCAAAATGTGAAACACAAACTGTGTACTCCTTAAGATGGTTGCATGACTGATTCACATTACAAAAACTCCCACACTGAGTCATTGCTTCAGAAACTGCTTGAAAATGAAAATATGATAAATGAATTACAGAAGAGTGGAGGCCATAATGATTTTCTGCTTGCACTTTGTTTAGACTGACATGTTGTGACTTTTCCAATATAACAGAGATATTATGCTTCCATGTACAGAGGAGGATGAGTGTTATGCAATACTTGGATTATGTCAGAACCTTGTTTGACTGTGAACTGTCAAACTGTTCATCTCTGATCTTTATCACCACAACAAGGACATCTGCATGCCTGTGCTTCTGAAACCAGCACACAGCTGAGTCAGCTGTTTGGAGAAGTGCACACTCAAGCCTATCTCTACAGGAGATATATGCATATTGGTAGTATGTTTTTATGAAACACATTTTGAGATGGAAAATGCATTTGCTTTCATTCCTTCTACTATATCTGCTGTTGAGCCGAGTGTCTGGACATTTGAGTCAGACCTTTGTCTAAACTGCTTGTTTGTGAGTCCTATCTGCGAGTATTTAGACACCAGGAATCAATGTGGTCTGTAATGAACGGTTTGTTTGAGAACAAATATAATGGCTTGTTGTAAAACATTTTGGGGGGTCATTTTGTCTTGGATTATTGAAATTGAGAGGAGAGTAAGGAGATGCATTGAGGACTGAATCATCTGTATTTTGGGTGCATGCTTTACCTGCTGAGCTAAATGAGCTATTTAAGACCCGCTATTATATCTTACAGTACTTTCAAAACTCCTGAAAAATGCCTAAAGTTTTCTGGGTGTGTGAATGCAAACAGCAGAATTTAGGCTCGGTCAGATATTATCAGGAGAAATCACCTCGAGCAATTGGGAGGAGGGAGTGCATTTATTCCCTGTGATCATTGCACTCGACCAGTTTTTTTTTGTGTTTGTGATTCAGGTGTAACATTACAGCTTGTCAGAATCACCATCACTTCATTTATTCACGAGTCAGATCCACTGTTAAGGGCTTGTTTGTGAGCTGGATCCACCATTAAGATAGGATAAGATACGATAAGATAGTCCTTTATTGATCCCCAGTGGGGAGATTCAAGTGCTGCAGCAGTAAAAGATAACAAGAAGAACTTGCATATGAGTATTAATACATTTAGAATATATAGGAATAAAAATAAAAATAAAGATATGATGTATTTACAACTATTATAAGCAGGATGTCTGTCTGTGATTAAGAAGACAGACTAGGACCCACTGCTGTTGTAAAGTCTGATAGCAGTACCTGCTTGAACTTACGCTGAGCTCCATGTCTTGGTTCTAGCCTTTAGGCCAAGCTCAGCTAAGTTAAGATAACAGCTAAACTGTTGCATGCAGGGAGTAAGACTGGCATCAATTTTCTCATCTTGCTGTAATCAGAAATATTTGTCTTATTGCGCTTTGCTATAAATCATCAGCAGAAGACTGTTTGAAGAAAGATGACTGATGCATTGTTTGATGATGTAATCAGACTTTTTCTGCACATATTGTTATCTCATATAGACATGTTTGCACAAGTCACATGAATGCAGTTTAAAAGCTTGTGCTGTATAGGCGCAACAACAAAAATGTAAAATAAAAAGTGCATGTCAAATTCATGCTCAAAGATAATAAAAAATAAAAATAACTGTTAATGGCTTCACAATAAAACACTGGGTTTAAAAAAGTCCATTATCAGTTTCATTCCAAGTGTATGTGATTTAAACTTTTGAACATGGTTCTTTCTTAAAGTCTGCAGACATGCAAGGAGGATCCTGAACACATAATGAAAGTACTCAGCGTCTTACATAAATATTACAGTAAATTAAACTGTTGACATGTTAATGCAGGCTATGACTGTGAATACAAATACAATGTGTGTGTGTGTGTGTGTGTGTGTGTGTGTGTGTGTGTGTGTGTGTGTGTGTGTGTGTGTGTGATATCCAACACTATCACCTACTTTTTAGAGTATTCTACATTTTACAGTCCATTCCTTCTTTTTGTTGTTGTTATAAAAACATGTTAACACTTGTGCTTCCAAAACCTGCAACGTGCTGTAACTCTACACTAAAGATCATTTTTCACATTGCAAGAAAAAAAACTTGCAAAGACTTTCAATTTTTGAACATTACTAAAGCAGGGACTTGCCTTGGGCTGGATGTTTTGGCATAAAGAAAAAAGGGATCATTATTTTTGCCGTTTTTGTTACGACAGGGAGCTATTCTTGACATATTTTTAAAAGCAGGAGGCCATGGCTACAGAAATGTGTCTAAATGAGCTGTTTGAGTTTATTCTTAACTTGCACAAGCTGCAGAGTAAAACACAATAGACACACAGAGAAAAACCAGCCCGGGGAGTGGAGGAGTACGCACCAGTGATCATGATGCAATGCCTTGTTGTCTTGCATGCCATGAATTCTCACACAGTCAGCCGCTTACACTGCTGGACCACAAACACGCTGAGGTCTTGTGACAGCAGTCATTTTGGAAGCTTTCCTTTTTTCACACCCTCTCAAACAATTAACCCAAATTACATGCACTGTCCAACCCCCAAAGTTTTAATTGTAAGGACAGATAATAAAACATGATATCTCTGCCTGAGGATCTGCATGTCTTCTTAAACAGTCAATCAATATATTTGTTCCTTTATTTGATCTTTGCTCCTCACAGACAAAGATAAAACAGAGGACCTCACCTGAGCAAACATTTGAGCATTTAAGTTCTGGACGTTGACACGTGCTTCCTTTGAGTGCATGCATGCTCTACAGCACATCACCATCTTGTAACTGCACATCTGTATTTGCAAGATTCCATATTGATGAACACTATCTGATCAAACAACCAAAGTGATATCTGGGCCCCACCTGGCTCTAAACGGGTCAAACTTGTTTTGAGGTTTAAGCTGAATCCTTTGACAGACCATGGTATTTACAGCACAGGGTAAATAACGGTCTCCCACTGAAAGATTTAACATTATGTGATAAAATCTGCAACCATTACCACATCAAATTTACCAATCAATCTCCCCACTACTGAAGGCAGATAAATTCATATGAAAATATATCAAATGCATGTGTTCTGCAGGGAGGATATGACGCACTGTCATTGCTTAAATTTTCTTCATTTGCAAAAGTCTTTCCAGTTGATAACAATGAACTACAAAAAGTCAATCTTGCTGGAATTTTCCGGCAGAAAATCAATGCAATCAATAACAGTCTCCAAAAAAAAAACCCTGATAACTGCACTGTGTACTGAAAACCAGATCATTATTGGCTGCCATTTTCTTAAGTTACAATGTCGGTTCTAAAATACAGAGGTAATTATAAAAAACATATTTTAAAATGTACATCTATATGCTTTGAATAGTATAGAAAATAAAAGCCTACATGTTTTTGATAGGGACACTAAACTACCCAATAAGAAAGAAACTCAAGATGGATTGTAGTAATTTAGTATTCCACTAGGTCTATGCACAACAACTAAATAAATCAGATTAAATCATTGGAGGGAGATTTGGCATTACAATCTTTGATTATCTCAAAATGCCAAAAAGAAAAATATTCTTTCTTATTATTCTTTTTTTTCCACTCACACTGGCGGTTTCACTTTCTGGTCAACTTCCCCTCTGAAAAATCTTCTCATTTAGATTTACACGTTATTTTATTAAGTCATTAAAAAAAGGGGAAGCACAGCTCTCTAAACTGTAGGCTATTGTTGTGGTGAAGTTATGATTCTAGGATAAAACAAACTTTATATCACCCACTTAGTTTCACAGTGCAAAATGAGCAAATTCCCAAATCATGGAAAAAATGAACAAAAAATGAACTTTTTCAAATAAATGAATGTGGGAATTTTGAACACAGTTGTTGTTTGTTGAGATAGGACACTTTTAAAGTTCTGTTTTGAACCTCCTTTTGCACTATCTGCTTTTTAAACATTGCTGTACATATATAAACAACACAACTTCAGAAGGTCAACAACTTTTTATATTCAGGTCTAATTAGAGATATTTTTCCTCAACTGTTTCTAGGTTCTTGTTTAAATTTCACATATATTTTTATCCCTGCACGGGTTATGTCTATTTTTAATTGCACAGTTTAAGTTTGATTCATCTAGGGGTATTCTTTAAATCTTTTTTCAGGTTAATATATATGTATGGGAGGGGGGCGTCGGGTTTTGTGGTTTAATTTGTAACAAATGTTTCATGTCATGTACGTCTTTGTAACCTGATACTGGATGCTTTGAATTAATTATCAATAAAGTATCTATCTATCTATCCTGTTATTCATTGGCTGAATATCGGCGCTCCTACACCTGTGGTGCAGCCAAATCAAACGACAGAGGAGGAGACCCCCCCTCCCTGCCTCGACTTCTGGGCGGATCTTCACTCGTCTCCTCTCTGTTCACTACTTTCACCAGGCACTACTTCTCCGGCTGCGCACGTGGAAACACTAGATTAATGATTCCTTTCTGTGCGGTTATGTCGCGAGCTGCAGCGGCACGTTCCACTTCTTTTTCAGAGTTCTCGCGCGGGAGGAGGAACATTTTGTAGAGCAGCAGACGTGCTGAGAATGAGTCCCGCATAACTTGGGGTATTGTTGTTATCTACCCCCCCTCCTCTCCTTCCTCTCTTTTTCCCCCTTGTCTCTCCAGTTTGAGTCATTGCACAGAAGTATGGTAGATAAAGGCCCCTTGTTGACCTCTGCCATCATCTTTTACCTGTCCATTGGGGCAGCTATTTTTCAAGTTCTGGAGGAGCCCAATTGGAAGCGGGCTGCCGATCGGTATAATGAACAGAAGGATGAACTTCTTAAGGACTATCCGTGTCTGACGAAAGCTGATTTGGACAGAATATTAGAGGTATGAACACGTTTTTTTAAACTCAACATTTCTTAACCCCACTCTGAACTTCTTCAAACGTATCTCAGTGCACTGGAAGATGATTGGAAAGTGAATCTGCAGCGTTCATGTGTTGCACTGTTCTGCAGCTCTTCTCTCACTTATTTGTAAGAGGTTGTGACACATGAGGGCTTAATGAGCCTCAGCAGGTTTGGAAGCTTTCACCAAACACCAACAAAACCTCTGGTTAAACATCCATGGTTCATCTTCATGGGTCAACACACCAACACTTAATCGATCAGCCTATAGGCTTAAACTTTTAAAATATCAAAAAGGGCAACCTGTCACACAGGCATTTATCTTTGAATTCCCTGAATTATCTTAAATTCCCTGGAAAGGTTCGTGGATTTTATCTGCTGTTATCTGTGGTGGGGTCATTGTGTTGATAGTAGTGATGTTAATTATTTTATTACCATTTACAGGTAATGTTATGTAACTCTAACAGACTGTCTGGTTCAATGATAATGATACTGGGTGTGTAAGGAGCCCAATCTGCAACCTCAGCCCTAACAGCTGCAGTACAAGGTGTTCCATTGACAATTTGTCATACAGAACAATTCTTTAACCGGTAGTGAAGTTGGGGCTGTTGACCTGTGGTTTTACCAGCAGCACTGAATGATCACATAGTAAGTCAACACTCCTGTGATGTCGCAGGTGTTTGCCCCATGACACGCTGTTTGTTCACATGCCCTGAAATGTGTAGGCCTTTTATCCCTGATTCTTAGCGTTTGTTTGAGTGTGACGATGTCGGGCCCCGTTACATCTCAAATGTGTGTCAGGGGAGCAGAAAGAAGAGGCCCCTCACAGCCGTCGGCAATGATAAATCAAAAGTGGTTCATTTCTGTCAAGAGTTTTTGCTGGTTGCACTTGCAAAATATGAGCAGAAACATGTCTCAACCCATCCCCCCTTTTTTTGGGCCCACATCAGTATTAGGGAGATTTATTATCCCCCTGACCCCCCCTCTAGGCCTCCTTCTGCTTTTTGTGTGTTGGGGGGCCTGAAAGGGATATGCCCCCTGAACCTCCCCCCCCCATTCATGGCATCTCTTTAACGGCCAAATCCCTGCAGTGGCCTAATTTCCATCTCCCATGTTGTTGTGAATACTACTGTTGAAAGTGTTTTGCAGCTGCTGTTCAGTTTTGATTTTTGGATGAACTTTTGAGTTGAATCCTCCTGAATGAAACTGAAACATCTCCTGCGTGTGTGTGTGTACTCTCTGAAGGACAAAGATTTACATAAAGCCAGCTGAGGACACTCAAGACTCTTTCAACATGATTTAGAATCACATGTTTAACCTTTTCCACAGATACCACATAGGTTTAACTTTCCCGTTATCCTAGATATCTTCCATCATCATATCAATCAAGTGTATTTGTCACATGCAATCATAAGCATTATTCACATTATGCACAGAACTCCTGAAATGTTCAAGGGTGAGCTGCATGTGTGAACGCAAACACTCTGACCTCATCTGGAGTATTATAGTAGAAGTTGTTTACTTTGATCCAGATTTACAATTTATCCCGACCTAAAAAATATCTTGGAAGTTTAATTTTCATTCAAAATAAAATACATCGAGGGAAATAGTAAAGCCTCGGCTTGAAGTCCGGGTTTGAGAACGCTGCAGGAAATACTGAGGAAAATTCAGAGAGCAGGTGTGAGGAGGTGATGACGGGTATATCCTGCAACAAACTGGAGACTGGTGTGTGAACTCTGTTCTGCTTCATGATGTTTCCCTTTTTGCCAGAATGTTCTCTGCTGTTTCCTTGATTCGAATTTGTCAAACTACCTGTGATGATATTAAGCAGTGGTTCTAAACTGGTCTACAGGACCCACCACCAACTCCTTCATGAAAAATCACAACCCAAATTTCTGTTACTTTTTTAAACCAATCAGATTTATTTAATGAAACATTGTGCAGTTTGGACCTCTGACGACAGAAAACGGGACAGAGCAAATAAATCAAACAATTCACACACTTTTTGACACCATTTATTGGCGACCCATTTTTGGGGTCCTGACCCACCAGTTGAGAACATAACATAAAGGGAAAAACTGTAATCATGGCGTCAGACTCTGTTTCTTTGTTCGCTATTTCTGTGTTAGTTTTTTTTATGTAATTTGCTGCCTTCTGAGACGACTGACCCAGACCCCCCTCCCCTGTCTGACCTTTTTTTCCAACATTTCAGTGCATGTGTGAAAACAACCTTGGAGGGTACAACCTGTAAATCCCCCCCCCCCCCCCCCCCTGTGTTCGCTGAGACACCTGCTGCAAAGACTTATGCAGTCCATATATTAAAACACATAAACAGTTAATATCGCCTTTTACTGCTTCATTTCCAAAGGAGGAGATTTCTATCAGTTTTCCATTGTGGAAACTTTTCTCTGCTTGTTAACAGTTCATATATATCAGTAGGCTTAACAAGAGAAGGCAACACTCTTGTAAACGTTAGTGCTCTCTGTTTCATTAACAAGGAGTTTACTATTAACTATAGGAGCCTTGAAGTGGTCACAGTTTACAGATTGGATTTTATGGTCCATCAACATTGGCTCTTGAGGCGCTTGTTATTAACAGGCACTGTGAGGAGAAGTGGCTGTGTGCACATTGTGTCTACACTGCAAATAAGAATGCATCGCTCCATGAGTAAGCAGTGTGCTTTGTGCCCTGTGGACATGGGCTGAAAGACAATGCTACATAAACTTTGCGGTTTAGCGCATTACTTTATGAACTCATTATTTATGTTCCTATGGCAAAAAAGGTTTGACCAAATAAACTAATCTATTGTTTCTGTTAAGTGACCACAGGACTTTTAAAACCTGATTCCTATTTCTGACATAGTTTGGAGTTGAAGTAAGTAAAAATAGCTTTATAATTATTGTGTTTGGCTTCAGCCAGCAGCTGCAAAACAAACTTCTTCTATGCATTCAGGCTCAGATGTTTTCATGACCGTTTTCTTTCACACCCGCATCTGAGAGGGAGATCATCCTGTACGTGTTAGACATGCTCTCAGAACTTAAAATCCTCGGTTTGGTTTAGGTGTGAAGGGTAGCTTGTTTGGTGTAGGAGTAGATGAAGGGTAGCTCCTGCAACTCGTTTGGTGTAGATGAAGGGTAGCTCCTGCAGCTCGTTTGGTGTAGATGAAGGGTAGCTCCTGCAACTCGTTTGGTGTAGATGAAGGGTAGCTCCTGCAACTCGTTTGGTGTAGATGAAGGGTAGCTCCTGCAGCTCGTTTGGTGTAGGTGAAGGGTAGCTCCTGCAGCTCGTTTGGTGTAGGTGAAGGGTAGCTCCTGCAGCTCGTTTGGTGTAGGTGAAGGGTAGCTCCTGCAGCTCGTTTGGTGTAGGTGAAGGGTAGCTCCTGCAACTCGTTTGGTGTAGGTGAAGGGTAGCTCCTGCAACTCGTTTGGTGTAGATGAAGGGTAGCTCCTGCAGCTCGTTTGGTGTAGGTGAAGGGTAGCTCCTGCAACTCGTTTGGTGTAGATGAAGGGTAGCTCCTGCAGCTCGTTTGGTGTAGATGAAGGGTAGCTCCTGCAACTCGTTTGGTGTAGATGAAGGGTAGCTCCTGCAACTCGTTTGGTGTAGATGAAGGGTAGCTCCTGCAGCTCGTTTGGTGTAGGTGAAGGGTAGCTCCTGCAGCTCGTTTGGTGTAGGTGAAGGGTAGCTCCTGCAGCTCGTTTGGTGTAGGTGAAGGGTAGCTCCTGCAGCTCGTTTGGTGTAGGTGAAGGGTAGCTCCTGCAACTCGTTTGGTGTAGGTGAAGGGTAGCTCCTGCAACTCGTTTGGTGTAGATGAAGGGTAGCTCCTGCAGCTCGTTTGGTGTAGGTGAAGGGTAGCTCCTGCAACTCGTTTGGTGTAGATGAAGGGTAGCTCCTGCAGCTCGTTTGGTGTAGATGAAGGGTAGCTCCTGCAGCTCGTTTGGTGTAGATGAAGGGTAGCTCCTGCAGCTCGTTTGGTGTAGGTGAAGGGTAGCTCCTGCAGCTCGTTTGGTGTAGGTGTAGGTGAAGGGTAGCTCCTGCAGCTCGTTTGGTGTAGGTGAAGGGTAGCTCCTGCAGCTCGTTTGGTGTAGGTGTAGGTGAAGGGTAGCTCCTGCAGCTCGCTTGGTGTAGGTGAAGGGTAGCTTGTGCAGAAGGAGGAGGAGGTGGAGTCTTCAGGGGTGGTGACTGTTTCTGTGTTAATATCACTATTTTAAAGGAGGTTTTCACACATCCATCTATCTCATGAAGTAGGTGTGTAGGACATCAAACTTGCATGTCTTTTCATGTGTGAATATCACTACAATATGTATAATGACATTTCTGCAATACAGAAGAAAACAATACAGACAACTGATACCCGCTGCATCACGTGTCCGCACATCTCACCTTTACACAGAATTTCTACCAGAGTTCTGGCAAAGAAAAGTCCAGGGACAGGTGGGGTGAGGAGAGTTGGTGGTTTCCTTCCTTCCTTGTTGATTATTATTATTATTATTATTATTATTATTACAAATGATAGTTTGTCTAACCAAAACCAGTTGTTAATGTCACTTTGTGAAAAAGACACCAGACTACAGTCATTTCAGTTATTTTGCCACAGAGAACACAGGAGCTGCTGGTCTGCCTCCTTGATCAGGAACTTTGTTTACTCTTTTATTTTCTTGAGCTCCAAGCTGACCCTTCCAAAAGCATCAATCACATGAGGGCACACACATTACTAAAAAAAAAAAGCTTTCACCGAGGCAGCTGTAGACCAGCAACTCCTGTGATCTGAAAAGGATTTCACCTTGACTACAAAGGGTGCATCTTTTGTAGGGATCCTTTCGTTTATGTTGTTAACACAAAAATTTTCAATTCTTTTAAGGCAACTAATAACATTTGTGGTCACTTTGTTTGCCAGTTACCCTCTCTGTTGATCAATTAATTGTTTAAAAGTATGCGTAAAAATGTTATTCACATTTCCTTAAAAACCCTTTGTCTTTCTAGATT